AAAAGAGCGAGAAGCGCATGAATAGATGGAGGTCAATCAGAGATGCATGTCACGTGGAGCGAATGAGATGTCGTGATGTAGGGACCGCGGAACCAAATGATTTTCCATAGACGATAGTGTTAACGTTTACCCATGTCCTGGTTAAATGGGGTTATCCACACTGGTTTACCTGACCTCATTTTGAAGAATAGCATCTCACACAACTGTAAAAAAAAAATATTTCAAAATTCTGCCAATTTGAACTTTTTTATATGGGGGCTGCCTTCTTGTTTTGAATTCGGCACTAAAAATCGAACAAAATTTACAGCAAATTACACACTTAATAAACTCACCCAGACAAAACCAGACTTGAATTTTTTTTTTAATTTTTTTATACATATTAAATCTATATATATTGCTCAACCCACACATAAAACTTTTGAAACTTCTGCCACCTTAATATCCAACCAGCAGGCCCCGAGGCATTCACCTTTCTATTAAATCTTCTGCCCAAAAGGGAAAAACCCACAATCTATTTTTGATTTGGTTCCGTGGTCCCTATAGGATCCCACATATTTTTCAAATTTACCATTTTTGGAAACAGTCAGGACCATAGGGTATGAAACCAAAATGGGAAGTGGCTGGCTCCAAGGCTTGGGCTGCTAGGTCAAGTCTTCTACCGGTACTGAAGATGGAGATTCCTGCAAAAAAAGGCAGGAAAATTGAACCAGTTTCAAAATGTAAACTTGAATATCTTAATAAATATTATACTTAGACTTATGGTTTTGAGTTTTTATTAAAGTACAGGTACTGTTCTACCCAGAAATATAAACAACAAACATTTTGTCTGAAGATCAGGGGAGATAACTCAATTTTGAGACCCATACCCCCTTAATTTTGGACTTTTTGTAAAAAATTGAAGACACCAGCAATTATTTAGAGAAAAGAGTCAAAAACAGACACAAAAGTAAAGACTAATAACTGTACAAACAGTACAACACCACAATGATAGGATTACATAATGTTTACATAACAGCAGCTGAGATGAAAGACAGTGATAGGAGAGGACTGCACAAGGTGTAAGGGAGGTAATCGGGAAGTGCTGCTAAGGTGTGCATTGTGAGTGCAGGACCAAATCACTAGTGTGTGCAGGGAAGAAAAGAAATAACTTGCTAACAGACAACGTATACTTACCAAGTGATTTTAAGGTCAGCGGTGGAGAGGCAACTGTGTCAAAAATTCTGATGGAGAAAGTTAAGGCCTGTCTCGGTGACTCCTTGTTGGAAATGAACCTGATGACCCTGTCGACCCAAAAGGTAGAATCTGTGAACAGACGGCTGAAGCAGTCTCTCGCATCATGTGTGAAATTTACTTGTAACTTTTCAGGGATAGCTCATAGGGCGGTGTATCCTGTGAACCATGGGCCGGGAACTGCTATTAAAGAACTGTGTAGAAGGGTTGTGTCTCCAATTACTGCTGGGAGCTCTGTGTCCAAGGACCTGGATAAAGAACAATAAAGACATCATTGTGGTGTAAAATTCAAAAGAGAAATAAGAAGAAATTTATGTGAAAGACAGAGTTATGATTGAGAAAAGAAATGAAACATTAAAATACTGAGAACTTAAAAAAAAATGGTCTTTGTTATTTTTTAATATATATCTTACAAGAAAGAAAGAGAGAAAGAACGAAAGAAAGACAGACAGACAGACAGACAGACAGACACACAGACACACAGACAGACACACAGACAGACAGACACACACACACAGACACACACACAGACAGAAAGAAAGATAAATATATATATATAGATTATAAATTAAAAAATATATAGGTTCATATCAGAGATGACTGACCTCCAAAATCATGACGTCACAGTCCTCCTCGGGAAATCCTCCTTCAGCAATCTGTAATGTACCATCAGTGACAGTCAGAGCACTCTCTGTGTTATTCTGTGTCCATTTGGCCATCTAACCACAATAAGCCCATATCCTCCCTGGTCCATGGGCCACCTCCACGCTCTATATGGGTGTATATTTCCATCATAATATCCTCCTGCAGCTAATTTTCCCTCTAAATTCTGGCTAAACACATCCATGATTAGATTCACAACCAGAAATATGCTGGTTGGTCCCATCATCTGGTTTCCAGGGACGCTTGAATGGTGTAAAACGTCATATCCTATAGGGACCGCGGAACCAAATGATTTTCCATAGACGATAGTGTTAACGTTTACCCCTGTCCTGGTTAAATGGGGTTATCCACACTGGTTTACCTGACCTCATTTTGAAGAATAGCATCTCACACAACTGTAAAAAAAATATTTCAAAATTCTGCCAATTTGAACTTTTTTTATATGGGGGCTGCCATCTTGTATTGAATTCGGCACTAAAAATCGAACAAAATTTACAGCAAATTACACACTTAATAAACTCACCCAGACAAAACCAGACTTGAATTTTTTTTTTAATTTTTTTATACATATTAAATCTATATATATTGCTCAACCCACACATAAAACTTTTGAAACTTCTGCCACCTTAATATCCAACCAGCAGGCCCCGAGGCATTCACCTTTCTATTAAATCTTCTGCCTAAAAGGGAAAAACCCACAATCTATTTTTGATTTGGTTCCGTGGTCCCTATGTAGGTCATTCGCATAGTTTGAGGAACGCACGAATTTCAACTAGAGAGGTCAGCCAAAAGCAATGACGTTTGTATCCGTGCAAAATAATATAGGATTGAGAGAGAAGAGCAATAGCTGTAAATTTAGGACTTATTATATGTTTATTTGTTACATTATTTATCATAAATATGTACATTAGCATGTAAAATACAACTAATTCCTGATAGTGTTATATCTGTGTAGTTATGCGATACCTTAGTGTTAGGGCCATTCTATTTTTAGGACAAGAATACGTGTCTCTTGAACAATTATTGTTCTCCAGTGAAATCAAGCTAACATAGAGACCTTATTAGAAGAGTTGAGTTGGGATTGAGTGTCTGATTCAGAGTAGACGTTATGATGTGTTACCCGATGTCATGGTTGTAACAATAAATCCATGAGATCTTAATACACTCTTTTTAAGTTGTCCAGACGGTTGTATGCTTCCATTTCGGATTAAACTAGCACCCTTACTGATCCCCTAAATATTTAAACAGTTAGTCCCCATGAAGCATAATGTAAAACTGATATTTTACCAATAACCGATTCTAACATCACCAATATTCTGGTTTACACAAGTAACTTTCAAGTCAAATGAAAAGTACGAGTAGCATAAACAAATTCCTTTCGATGTAGATTTCATGATTAGAAACAACATATGGAATGTTTGTTGTGAAGTACCTAGTGATTATCAGTTTAAAATGTATACTGCTTCGCTGAAGAATGCACCACCATGGCTGAGTAGCTGGTACGTAATAGGAATTCCTTATTTGACCACAAGGGTAAGAGATTTCTCAAATGTCCCGACTGTTACACTCGTTGCAAAGTGGCATCGGGTGTTATATGGTGCAGTGTTATTCATGTTTGCACTGTGTATATCTTGCTAAACTGTGTAGATGCAATCACGTGTGTGTTGGGGAAGGTGAGTGGTAGGAGGGAGGTGAGGGTGTGTGTGTTATATGTTTACCTTACAAGGTTCGGGTATAGTAGCGTGTTACTCTACACTCTATACGGCGTTTAATGCGATGTGAAACGAGCGTATAATGGGCCGGTTAGATTGTAACTCAAGGTGTATCTTGGAAAGTAGGGGGGATGATTGAATACATGTCATTTTCATACCCGCAACCCCTGCGTAAACAATAGTCTAGCGTAAAGCACTCATGTGAACAACCCTATCCCACATACGCTATCATACGTGAGCTAACTACGTGTTGTTATTTTTATATTTTACAAGGTAGAAATAAAAGTAAATTTTGCGTTCAAAATGCCCAGAGTATCACTGAAAAGTTACGTCAATTTGATATGACACATGGAAAATATCATGTTTATGCAATATCATATCTATCCACTCTTTTTACGTGAGAAACCAGAACCTAGCTATGGTTCCCATAATCCCTGATTTATAACTAATGATATTAATTTTACTTAGTTCGTTATGACTAATAGATAATGTAATCACTTACTAAGCAATGCTGAGTTTAACTCTTGAAACTCATTGCTATACAAAGCAATTATTTGTAGTTATATTTAGGTCATATTAAATGTCTCTGAATTATGTTAAAAATGTTATCTATTGTAATACTGTTGTAGAATAATTAAGGGAATTATTTTTTTCCTCAAGACTCATGAGGTCCTAAAAATATTGGTTTTCTGGACATATTTACCATGAATGGCTTATGCGATTCATGGTAAATATGTCCAGAAAGCCAATGTTGTTATGACCTCATGAAAGATGAAAAGAAAAAAATTCATTCCTCGTATTTCGTATTTACGTGTTGAAGTGCTTTGAAAGATATTTTTTCTGTTGAAAGCATAAACAAACAAAACATACAGGCATTTGTTTCTATTTACACGTGTGGTAAATGCAGTAGAAAGAACAGCGTCATTTCGCAGGGAAATGTAAAACTTTCGCTGGGGTCCTAGCAAAAGCATGAAAACAAAACAAACAAAATATAATTCCACATTCAAAATCAATTTGTGGAATTTATACAAGTGGTATATAATTATCAAACGCTTTACCTTATTTAAGGTTTATAATCGAGCCAATCATGTTTATTGTTAATGTATATCAGCATAACACAACTACACCGGTGCTGTTTCACGATGGACGTAAACCAAGTTGACCTTAGCTACGTCATGAGGCCTGGCATGTTTTATAAACAGCATGGTCGCACAGCTATATCGGCTGGCCACCGAAGTTGAAATTGCAGCCATGAAATACTGAATTCGACAGAAATCCGGAGGTGAAGTAAGTGGAACTTTGTTTTGACTTTAGGAATGGAATTGGGACGACCGGGATGAGTAACGCTTGTGGTGTATTACTACGAAGTGATGAGGTCACCTCTGTTATGCAAAAATGAATGTCATTTTCGTCAATGGATTCCAGCGTAAGGAATGTAAATAGTATGAAATGAATTACATTTCCTTCGGAACTCATTTGCTGGAGGCGGAAAAATGGAGTGAATCGGGGGACATGTCGAAAGGCTTGAATATAAAGTGATTGAAAGGCAGGAATTCATAACAGGGAAAGAGAGAAAATGTGTGTCTACCTTCCTGCATAGGATAGATGACAAAGTGGACAATTTCGTGTAAAAACAACGAAATTGTGCCTGAAATGTTGCTTTCTTTGATACTTTTCTGTAAAGAGTCAAATAATATTATAGAATATGTTAGATATGTAATGCCACTTTAGAGCTAGGCTAATTAAAATAAAAGAACTTCATATATTTTATAACAATCATAAAACAAAGTATTTGAACTTATATTAATCACTCTTATTAGCAAGGATATTAGCACGCGTGGGGTCTAAATGTGAGTGGAAACTGGAGTATCCAGAAAAAAATCACGTGGTCGGGCAGGTGACCCAATATCTTTTCATATCCGATCGGAGTATCATCTTAGTGAAAGGCGTTATCCACTACGCAAACAGGCCTCCCAACATTGATTTCTAACAATCGAACACTAATACACAGCCTGACAATAACCTATCTAACCTATCTATGTCCCTCTACGTAATACTAACTGCTGTTTAAATCTTACACCAATGACCAACCTGACAATAACATAACTAACCTATCTATGATCCGCTACGTAATACCTACTGCTGTAAGAATCTTACACCAATAACCAACCTGACAATAACCTATCTAACCTATCTATGTCCCTCTACGTAATACCTACTGCTGTAACAATCTTACACCAATAACCAACACGACAATAACCTATCTAACCTATCTATGTCCCTCTACGTAATACATACTGCTGGAACAAACTTACACCAATAACCAACCTGACAATAACCTATCTAACCTATCTATGTCCCTCTACGTAATACCTACTGCTGTAACAATCTTACAAGGATAACCAACCTGACAATAACCTATCTAACCTATCTATGTCCCTCTCCGTAATACCTACTGCTTCAAGAATATTACACCAATAACCAACCTGCCAATAACCTGTCTAACCTATCTATGTCCCTCTGCGTAATACTAACTGTTGTAACAATCTTACACCAATAACTAACCTGACAATAACCTATCTACCATATCTATGTCCCTCTACGTAAGACATACTGCTGTAACAATCTTACACGGATAACCAACCTGACAATAACCTATCTAACCTATCTATGTCCCTCTACGTAATACCTATTGCTGTAACAATCTTACACCTATAACCAACCTGACAATAACCTGTCTAACCTATCTATGTCCCTCTACGTTATACTTACTGCTGTAAGAATCTTACACCAATAACCAACCTGACAATAACCTGTCTAACCTATCGATGTCCCTCTACGTTATGCTTACTGCTGTAAGAATCTACACCAATAACCAACCCCACAACAACCTATCTAACCTATCTATCTCCCTCTACGTAATACCTCCTGCTGTAACAATCTTACACCAATAACCAACCTGACAATAACCTATCTAACCTATCTATGTCCAACCACGTAATACCTACTGCTGTAACAATCTTACACCAATAACTAACCTGACAACAACCTATCTAACCTATCTATGTCCCTCTGCGTAATACTAACTGTTGTAACAATCTTACACCAATAACCAACCTCACAACAACCTATCTAACCTATCTATCACCATCAGTCTCTCATAGCGCCGGATCATCATCAGTCTCTCATAACACCGGATCACCATCAGTCTCTCACAGCACTGGATCATTATCAGGCTCTCATAACACCGGATCATCATCAGTCTCTCATATAACTGGATCATTATCAGTCTCTCATAACACCGGATCACCATCAGTCCCTCACAGCACTGGATCATTATCAGTCTCTCATAACACCGGATCATCATCAGTCTTTCATAGCACTGGATCATTATCAGTCTCGCATAACACCGGATCACCATCAGTCTCTCATAGCACCGGATCATCATCAATCTCTCATAGCACCGGATCATCATCATTCTCTCACAGCACCGGATCATCATCAGTCTCTCATAGCACCGGATCATCATCAGTCTCTCACAGCATCAGATCATCATTAGTCTCTCATAGCAATGGATCATCATTAGTCTCTTATGATCACAGCACGGGATCATCATCAGTCTCTCATAGCACCGGATCATCATCAATCTCTCATAACACTGGATCATCATTAGTCTCTCATAACACCGGATCATCATCAGTCTTTCATAGCACTGGATCATTATCAGTCTCTCATAACACCGGATCACCATCAGTCTCTCACAGGACTGGATCATTATCAGTCTCTCATAACATCGAATCATCATCAGTCTTTCATAGCACTGGATCATTATCAGTCTCTCATAACCCCGGATCACCATCAGGCCCTCACAGCACTGGATCATTATCAGTCTCTCATAACACCGGATCCCCATCAGTCTCTCACAGGACTGGATCATTATCAGTCTCTCATAACATCGAATCATCATCAGTCTTTCATAGCACTCGATCATTATCAGTCTCTCATAACACCGGATCCCCATCAGTCTCTCACAGGACTGGATCATTATCAGTCTCTCATAACATCGAATCATCATCAGTCTTTCATAGCACTCGATCATTATCAGTCTCTCATAACACCGGATCCCCATCAGTCTCTCACAGCACTGGATCATCATCAGTCTCTCACAACACCGGATCATCATCAGTCTCTCACAGCACCGGCTCATCAGTCTCTCATAACACCGGATCACCATCAGTCTCTCACAGCACTGGATCATCATCAGTCTCTCACAACACCGGATCATCATCAGTCTCTCACAGCACCGGATCATCAGTCTCTCATAACACCGGATCACCATCAGGCCCTCACAGCACTGGATCATTATCAGTCTCTCACAACACCGGATCATCATCAACTGGATCATCATTAGTCTCTCATACTCACAGGACTGGATCATTATCAGTCTCTCACAACACCGGATCATCATAAGTCTTTCATAGCACTGGATCATCATCATTTTCTCATAGCACCGGACCATCATCAGTCTCTCACAACACCGGATCATCATAAGTCTTTCATAGCACTGGATCATCATTAGTCTCTCATACTCACAGGACTGGATCATTATCAATCTCTCATAACACTGGGTAATCATCAATCTTTCATAGCACCGGATCGTCATCAGTCTCTCATCACACCAGATCACCATCAGGCCCTCACAGCACTGGATCATTATTAGTCTCTCATAACACCGGCTCATCATCAGTCTCTCCTAACACCGGATCATCATCAGTCTCTCATAGCACCGGATCATCATCAATCTCTCATAACACTGGATAATCATCAATCTTTCATAGCACCGGATCATCATCAGTCTCTCATAACACCGGATCACCATCAGTCTCTCACAGCACTGGATCATCATCAGTCTCTCATAACACCGGATCATCATCAGTCTCTCACAGCACCGGATCATCAGTCTCTCATAACACCGGATCACCATCAGTCCCTCACAGCACTGGATCATTATCAGTCTCTCATAACATCGGATCATCATCAGTCTTTCATAGCACTGGATCATTATCAGTCTCTCATAACATCGGATCATCATCAGTCTTTCATAGCACTTGATCATTATCAGTCTCTCATAACACCGGATCACCATCAGGATCATCATTAGTCTCTCATAACACCGGATCATCATCAGTCTCTCACAGCATCAGATCATCATTAGTCTCTCATAGCAATGGATCATCATAAGTCTCTTATGATCACAGCACGGGATCATATCATCAATCTCTCATAGCACCGGATCACCATCAGTCTCTGATAGCACCGTATCATCATCAACCTCTCATAACACTGGATCATCATCAAGCTCTCATTGCACTGGATCATCATCAATTTCTCATAGCACCGGATCATCATTAGTCTCTCATACTCACAGGACTGGATCATTATCAGTCTCTCATAACATCGGATCATCATCAGTCTTTCATAGCACTTGATCATTATCAGTCTCTCATAACACCGGATCACCATCAGTCCCTCATAGCACCGGATCATCATCAATCTCTCATAACACTGGATCATCATCAGTCTCTCATAACACCGGATCATCATCAGTCTCTCATAGCACCGCATCATCATCAGTCTCTCATAGCACCGGATCGTCATCAGTCTCTTATGATCACAGAACTGGATCAACATCAGTCTCTCACAGCAATGGATCATCATTAGTCTCTCATAGCACTGGACCATCATCAGTCTCTCATAGCACCGAATCATCATCAGTCTCTCATAGCACCGGATCATTATCAATCTCTCATAGCACCGGATCATCATCATTCTCTCACAGCACCAGATCATCATTAGTCTCTCATAGCAATGAATCATCATCAGTCTCTCATAGCACCGGATCATTATCAATCTCTCATAGCACCGGATCATCATCATTCTCTCATAGCACCGGATCATCATCAATCTCTCATAGCACCGGATCACCATCAGTCTCTGATAGCACCGGATCATCATCAACCTCTCATAACACTGGATCATCATCAATCTCTCATTGCACTGGATCATCATCAATTTCTCATAGCACCGGATCATCATTAGTCTCTCATAGCACTGGACCATCATCAGTCTCTCATAGCACCGAATCATCATCAGTCTCTCATAGCACCGGATCGTCATCAGTCTCTTATGATCACAGCACTGGATCAACATCAGTCTCTCACAGCACTGGATCATCATTAGTCTCTCATAGCACCGGATCATCATCAATCTCTCACAGCACTGGATCATCATCAGCCTCTCATAGCACCGAATCATCATCAGTCTCTTATTATCACAGCACTGGATCAACATCAGTCTCTCACAGCACTGGATCATCATTAGTCTCTCATAACACCGGATCATCATCAGTCTATCACAGCACAGGATCATCTTCAGTCTCTCATAACACTGGATCATCATCAATCTCTCATTGCACTGGATCATCATCAATTTCTCATAGCACCGGATCATCAATAGTCTCTCATAGCACTGGATCATCATCAGTCTCTCATAGCACTGGATCATCATCAATTTCTCACAGCACCGGATCATCATTAGTCTCTCATAGCACTGGATCATCATCAGCCTCTCATAGCACCGGATCATCATCAGTCTATCACAGCACAGGATCATCATTAGTCTCTCATAGCACCGGATCATCATCAGTCTATCACAGCACAGGATCATCATCAGTCTCTCATAACACTGGATCATCATCAATCTCTCATAGCACTGGATCATCATCAATTTCTCATAGCACCGGATCATCATTAGTCTCTCATAGCACTGGATCATCATCAGTCTCTCATAGCACCGNGGCTACTGATTGCTAGCTTATATAGCTTAACAATAATTGCTAGATCTATTCTGTTTTGTTTTCGGGACGCTAAAAAGTTCTTTTCTCCCAATTGGGTGAAAAAAATCCCAAATTCAAAGAATTGGCCTTGAGCATCATCACCAAAACGCTTGCCAAGAGCCTTAGCTTCTTAAGATTGTTAGACTCATCTCTGCACTTACTGGCCTGGTCCAGGATTTGAATGAATCATTGCCCACACAGCTAATAATGATTCCAGCACAGTAAACAAATAAAGCTGTTCTCCACATAGACAATTCTTGTGTTAAGTACCAGTGTCAGGTAAAAGGGGGAGAACTGTATGTACAACATTGTAAAATACTCACTGTTTTACCAAATTCCTTGTGAAGATTGTTCACAATGTCTATAGCACTGTATGGTCTGTTTTGTTGATTTAGATAATCTAAAATTGCTTTCACCGCTGAAATAGTTGAATACAAGTTTTAACATTGATGAGTGAATACAAAACATCCATATTACAAAACATTCATATTACTACGACGTACAAATGTATATAGTACATGTAATATATGACTCTCCGATATTACCAATACAAATATGCCTATTACATTCCCTGCAGTATGATATAACTGGGAGGATGTTTGACACTAACAGATTCATAAGTTAGGGTCAAAATGAGGAAGAATATAGTGAGGGGTAGCAGATACAGCTATAGAAGTTTTGTTATGCTTGCTATAATTGGGAAGGAAGCAGGGATCAATCTAGGTTTTAGGGAAAATTACTGTTTTTTAGATTTGGGGGAAACTAAATTTTTTTGCAAGGCTCTAGCGTCATGAAGGTAAAAGATAAATGTTTTGTCCGACATACATGTGTGCAGTTTATTTCAAATTTTAAACAATTTTAAGCTTAAAATTGTAGAATTTTTGTTTAAATTAAGTGGAGAAAATGTATATATATGCAGTATTATGCATTTTAACTGTTGAACTTTAGAGAAAACATGTATAGGGGAAATATTTTGAAGAAAAAACAGCTATTTTCTTGTTGAAATAGGGGAATTTTGAAGCACACAGGGGGATATTTAAAGAACAGGGGAATTTTCTTCTGCAGGGGAAACTACCCATTAACGGTAGTGAATCAAGTCTAGATTGATCCCTGAGAAAGTTCCATTAATTTTAAGCACAGACGTAGATAAGAGTTTTGGAGGGTCTCAGGGTCCAACCCTGGTCTTGCCGTTACATTTCTCCTTCGCCTGTTTCAGTGGTGCCTGTGACCAACCCTTGTTTCAAGCATTTGGTGTATGCTTAGCAAGGGCTACCCAAACCTGGGTTGTAAATAGTTGTGTATTTGGGGGTGCCTTCAAGGGCGAAGACTTAGAGAGAGGAGGGAGGAATGTAGCAGATCTGAACTGGGTCGATCGCTGGCGACCAGATAGCTCAATTGGTAGAGCATACTTCTAGGCCTAGAGTTCAGAGGGTCCCCGGTTCAGTGCATTTTTCCTATCCTGTAACCTACATGTATATATATATAGTATTGGGAAGATACTATTTTTTTTTACCTAGATTACTAGATTCTAACCATACATTTATCTGACTTCTAGACGTTTCGGTATCTAAGTTGTATTTTTTTTTTTTTGTAAAGACGAAAAATGCTGAAGAATCGATTACTATAAATTCTGAAACAGAGTGGACAAAATAAGGGACAAAAATAAACAAACCAAAATATTGAGACAACCTCTAGGATAATTACCGAAACATCACGGAACCGAATTCAATCGGCCGATTACCAAAACAAATTCCGTACTGTACAGCAGGAAAATGAAACAAAGTCGCTTTTAAAAGAAGATTTTATCATTAGGTTGATAACAAAAGAAATTAAATGTAAGTATTCTTTTTAAAAAATAATGATGTAAAAAAACTCTAAAATTTAACATTTATGAAAAATAAAAATAAACTTCAATGTATACTTTTTATAGTCAGCATTACCATAAATCTTATTGTTTTATGCGACTTTGCTTTGTTTTAAGGAAAATTGAAATCTGAGAAAATATGGCTCAATACAGCTATAATTTATAGGTGAAAATAGCTATATAGCTCAATCGGCAGAGTGTACTGGACCCGTATATGTATACGTCTGTGTTCAGTTACCAGGTTACTGATCATGTAATTCCTGTAGGAACTCTAGTCTGATTTAGATAGAGTTCCTACAGGAATAGTCCGAATCATTCTGACGTTTCATCGACTTTTTTATATCGGTCTGTCGTCGATTAACAAAAGTCGATAAAACGTCAGAATAATTCGGACTACTACAGGAATTACTGATCATAATGATCTAACGTCAAACTCATGCTAGAAAATAAGAATGATTATCTAACAGCGGTCAACGTATATCAGTGTTGTGTATATGAACCTCGATTCGTTATATATTTCATTAAGCTGTTTTGATTACGTTATATAGAACAACCTTGAGCATCCTTATTCTTGCTCATTTTCGCCAATCGAAGTAAACAAGCTTTCGTAAGATGGCGGGAAATCCTCCAATGCAGAAGAAGTCTTTGTAGGGGAGCTAACTCAGTAAGGCGGAATCCCGATTTCTGCCTGCTCACTGAGGGTCGAGCGTC